CTGGGAATTATACTGTGCTGTTTTACAACTGTTCTTTCAAGAATGTTTAAAATAAAAAGAAGTTTAGAAATCAGCCTATGATTAGTTAAGATAGCTGAATAGTAATGTATTTTAAGTAAAGGTTCATATGTTGCTGGGAGGTTGCAGTAGAGCTGCAGTGGTGAGTTTTAAGTTTTGGTGAACAAGCCATTTATTGTCTTGTCAATAAATGGCTTCGGCCCATACATCAGAGTTGTGAGTTTCTAGAGCTTTATTATCAGCTATATATTTTTTTTTTCATTCTTATTCATAGTTGTGCTTCTTATCCATCCAGGATCTGTATCTAATAATGTTCTTATCAGAAGATATCAAATTTGATTCAGTGACCATCATTTTTGTCTTTAAAAGTTGTTCAGACAATTAACAGTATTTCTCTCTCTATTTCTTTCTAAATCTCTCAATCTTCAAATCAGAAGTTGTACTTTGTTTGTGTGTTTTTCAGATACATATCTGATGACAGTACATTAAGATATCTTGAAACGCATTCTTTCTACAACCTGTCCAGGGTCACACACATGTATGTAAATTTCATGCACAAAAATTTAACATGTAATTGAAATTAATCATCAAATGAATGGATTTATGCTTCAGTAAATACAAATAAGTCTTGTATCATGTTGCCTCTGTCCTGCAGTAGTACTGGCAAAATGATTTTCAAAGACCTGGCTTTTTTAAATGTTGGAGATGGCTTCGTTAGATGTAAAACATAATTGTACAGTAATGTACAGATTATTTCAGCAGATCATTCAATCCTTACATGGTTCTTCTCAGTTCCTAAATCCCACCAGCTTCTCCTTTCAAGTACAGGGTTACTGTGCTATTAAACCCTTGTCATTAGCTTTGCATTTTTATATAACAAGCCCCAATATGACAAGCCCCCTTTCCTGTCAGATACTCATATACTCAAACACATGTATAACAGGTTGAAAGTGTTACAGCAAATAACTTGTGAAAAGATTTCTATGGATGTTTCTATAATTAAAACAGTTTTGGAGATATCTTAGACTGAAAAACATTTTTAGGCAAAAAAGCATTACATGAAAAAATGCAACTATTTTGTGTTTGTGCCTCTGTGTATGTTTTCATGTCCAACAGACAACTAAATGGCATCAAAACACTGTCATATATTGATCAAGACGCTTTTAAGAATCTGCCTAATTTAAAATATCTGTAAGTATGATTTTATTTGTTTATTTATATTATGACTGTATTGTTTATTTTACAAATAAGCAACATAAAAGTTATGTACATTTATTGGTTCTTGACTCAGCTTTCTTTTAATACAGTGGGATCACAAACACAGGTCTCACCACCTTTCCTGGGCTACAGCATATTCACTCCAGCCAAGACCATTTTATATTGTATGTAGCATTTAGTCATAAATATTCTGCTGCTCGGTGTTCTCTAATAATTTGACTGAAGCCTTTGTGTGTGTGTTTGCTCCTTTTTAACAGAGAGATGGTGGAGAATGTTTTTATCCAAGTCATACCTGCTAATTCCTTTACTGGAATATCTCTGAATACTTTGACTATGTGAGTTTAATTTAATGTCAATGACTAATAATGCAACACATTTTATTTCTTAATTTGCCATGTTAATGGAGCTTGGTGATGGACTCTTCATACTTGCTGGCATATGGTTATTGGTTAGGTCTAGAAAGACGGTCATGGTTTGGGATAAAATTCCTTCCTTCCTTCCTTCCTTCCTTCCTTCCTTCCTTCCTTCCTTCCATGATACGTTATCACTTCAACCTCCTCAAAGCATGGAAAGAGGCTCAAACTGCTTCTCTGGTGAGCTATAGTGATGGAAAGAGATAAGTTGGGGCTGGAGGTGCTAAATTCAACCATTCCCACCTCCCTCCATTGTGATGACCACCTCACAGAGGCCCAGAGAGTGGATGTTACTGCATTGCAACAGTGTTTTGCAGATTTGTTCTCCCCAGTAGCAGCTCGCTCATAGGGCACCATTTTGAAACAGTTCCTCAGATGGATAAGACAGCACCCATCGCATCCTGCCTGCCTCCCATGACCAAAAAAAAGGGCAGTTCTTGGGGCTGGCTGGTTATTGCCACTTGTTTATCCTGAACTTTGTGGATCTGACCAGCCCCTTGAAGGATCTCCTTCCAGTGGACGGAGCAGTGCCAGGTGGCATTTGTACAGGTGAAGAAGGCTCTCTGTGAGGAACCCCAGCTTCACACTCCTGACTTTTCCCTCCCCTTTGGTTTTGCAGACCCACGCCTCAAACTGAGGGCTGGGGACCGTTTGTCACAGCAACTGTAAATAGACTTCATGAGTAAATGAGTAATTGGAACTGTAAGCTTACTGTAAGCTTTTTTCCATCCAATCAAACAGACAAACATACAGCAATTGTTTTCTATGACTAAGTGTTTTGTCAAACAGCAGCACACACTCCCACTCAGATGAATGTTTCAAGGACAACTGGGGGTTCAGTATCTTGCCCAAAGATATTACAACATGCAGACTGGAGGAGTTACTACACCTGACCAGAGATTGTAGCCCAGTATATTTAAGAACTCTACCAAATACAATACTTTTGGTTGTACGCCTTATGTTAAAGATGCAGGTTTGCACATCAGTCATATCTTGATGGCTTGATTTAAAATCGTTTTCCAATATGCATACCCTGCAGATTATGACAACAGAATGTATTTAATGTTGTTTCCAATGGCATACATGTCAGTGTGAAACATAGAGATGGAACTAACGTTTAACAACAAATTTAATTATGAAGATTTAAGATTTACAGGGTTTTCTTCCCCTTTTTTAGTGTGCTGAATAGCAATGGTGTGAAAGAGATCCAGGACTATGCTTTCAATGGAACCAAACTGGAGGAAGTGTATGAACTTTTGATTTATTCACTAAACTGATAAGACACAAGATTCAATTCACATCTTGTATTTATTTATTTCTTGTCTATATAGTTTGTGTCTGAACTTTACTAACGTGCTTGATAGATGGGATAAGTCATAGGTAGATTATAGCCTCAAATGAACAAGCAATTTTAATGACTAAAATTTCTGGGCAGGGTCAAATAATGTTGGCCCCTTTGGTACTTGTAGGTATACTGTTTCAGATACTTTAAAATGTTCTAATGTCATTGATTATGGTTTTCAACCTTGTTGTTGTTTAATTCAAAATGGACATGAAACATTGTACAACAGTTCATTTCTTTGTTATTCTTGTCAGTTTCATTTTATTAAACACACTTTTCAGAAAAAAATACATTTTAAAACTGAAGGTTTGGTAAAACTAAATAGTTTTTATCATGTCATTTTGTTCCCCATCTCTTCCCAAATATTCAGGTATCTTGATAGGAATTTGGATTTAGAACAAATAGAAGAATTTGCATTTTATGGTGTGATTCAAGGCCCAACTCACCTGTGAGTACAGAATTCACAAAAGACAAAGTGTTCTTGACAAAAATATCTCTCTCGCTCGCTCTTTTATTCTCTCTCCCACCCTTCCTTTATATAAAGACAGAGAAAGACAGAGAGAGAGAGAGAGGGAGAGAGAGAGCTCTGTAGCCCAATGAATTAATTCTTAACTATTTGTCTGTCAATCCAGAGATCTTTCAGATACCAAAGTACACTCTTTACCATCAAAAGGTATGAAGAACATTGAAAAGCTCCAAGCTAAAAACACATGGGCCTTAAAAATGCTGCCCCCCTTAAGAGCTTTTGTTCACTTACAAAGCGCTGAATTGACCTTCCCAAGCCATTGCTGTGGTCTTAAAATGCTGAAAAGAGGGCAAGGGTAAGTCTTGGGAAAATATTCCCTGTTATTCTTTTACTTGTGTACTCCTTTCTCCTTTCTGTTGTAATGTCCATAGTATTAGGCCTTGGTTATTCTCAAAAGCTGTAACTAGCTACTAGCTAAAAAATTTTAGTGTATGAAAAAATAGTTACTTAGAACATGGCAATAATTTAGCATTTAAACATTTGACAGTTGAAAAAAGATGCACTGTAGATTGCAGCTTTTGTTTTGTCTGTTTCCATCTTTAGCCAAACATTACATATAATTTATACTGACTTAACATTCACTATGCTGTCCTATATAACCTGCTTAATGACTGCTATAAATTTACAGAAACAAAGAAGTGAGCTAATTGTTACATCAAACCCTACATAAGGTCATAACAACTTGCAATGTGCGTTGTTTATATATTGTTGTGATTAATTGCTGTTTTTTGACTATTGCGATTGCTATCACAATGTGGTTATAATACTACATATTATGTTATACTTTTTAAGACTATTTTAGTCTTTAGGTGGAAACTATTGTCGAGTACTGTCTGTATCTCAGACAAGATCCAACACTCTGACATCACAAAGTGACAAGTGAAAACCATTGTGGGTTTTTACTTTTTACACTTTGCATCACATGTAGTAATTCATGGTGTAATAAACACATTTCCAAAAAAGGAAAAAAAATATTATTTGCAACTTTACATTCTATTTAAAATAGTGCAAAGACAACATAATAAATGTTCATATTGATATTCTAATTATAACTTTAAATGTAATACAACAGCAAGTTTAAATTAAAGTGAGTTAAAAAAAAAAATTGGAAAAGTTGTATAATGACAAAAATCAGGCTTTATTTCAAATTCATTGCATGACTTCCACAAAAGAAATCATGGACATCACATCCTCTGGCTTAAGAGGAGAGAGACATGTTATTAGTGCACAGTTTAAAAGTCAACATCTATGGGGATTCATTAATGTACATATCTTGTGCATCTCCGTATCCCCATTAATGTTGAGTGTGGCTTTGGAGAAACACATGTTTATTTGAATGATAGCCAAACCAAATTCTGAATGTATAACAACAGTCCAGAGTAAAGCGTGTAGGTGCTAACTTGACCTGCCTGTGTTCCAAACCTCTTAAAAATTCAAAAGATATTTTATGAAATAGAAAAATATGACAAAAATCACAGGAATAGTTAATGTAAAAAGACTTTAATTTACAGTGTTCTTAAAAGAAGAGATAATGAAACTCAGTGGTAAACATAGACTATGTCCTAACTGTTTTAATAGTAACAAAAAAAGCACATATGGTCACTTGCCTTTGCATTTTTAATTAAAAATAGGCTTTAAATTATTTGAAGATTATTGCATTGTTTTTATTTACAATTTAAATGTGGTTAAACAACAACCCACTTTCGTCACAAAATTTGTATTTGAAAATATGCTTGTAATTCATTTCCTGAAAAATAACTCTTTTCATTTCTGTGCAAGACACTCTGAGGCAGTTATCTGCAACCTGACATGGGCTACTTCAGGAAAGCTGCAGCTGTCTTCTGCAATGCTCTCTCAGAGGTATCTGGAGTACAACATCTCACAACATCTGAAATCTAAAAAGTTTGGTATTCCAACTCATGGCAGTGCAAATAGCAATCCCAACAGCCTGATTTGCCCAACCAAGAAGTCTCAGGATGATACTTTGTTCTATGTAAAAACATATTCAGAGCATCTCAGTGAAGTTTTTGACTTTTCGCTGTGTAATGAACTTGACGCAGATGATGGACCCTCATGCACCCCCCTGCCTGATGCTTTGAACCCCTGTGAAGATGTGATGAGTAAAGACATCCTGAGGATATTGGTCTGGGTCATCAGTTTATTTGCCATTTCAGCAAACCTATTAGTGCTCTTCATCCTGTTGACCAGTCGACAGAAAATGTCTGTTACCCGTTTTCTTATAGGTCACCTGGCATTTGCAGATTGCTGTATGGGGTTCTACTTGCTGGTCATTGCATTTGTGGATTTCTACACACGCTCCAATTATCATCACTATGCGATTACCTGGCAAACAGGAAGTGGCTGCAATATAGTAGGAACATTATCTGTGTTTGCCAGTGAGTTATCTGTGTTCACATTAACTCTAATCAGTCTTCAGCGCTGGAATGCCATCTTCTCAGCTATCAGGCCAGACAGAAAAATGAGGTTGCGTCATGCATCTGTGCTAATGCTTGTTGGCTGGTTGTTGTGTGCGTTTCTTGCACTGCTGCCAGTAGTTGGTGTGAGCAGTTACCAGAAAGTAAGCATCTGCTTACCTATAGACACTGGGACAACTGCTGCACGGACATACATTATTTCTGTCTTGATTGTTAATGTCACTGCTTTTATGGTTGTATGCTTATGTTACATCCACATCTATTTTATGGTACACAATCCCAATCATAACTCCAGCAGATACGACGCGAGCATGGCCAAACGCATGGCTGTTATTATTTTCACCAACTTTTTATGTCTGGCTCCCATTTGTTTCTACGGCCTGTCTGCAGCTTTCCACCATCCGATGATAACTGTCACAGATTCCAAGGTATAACTTGACATACTTGTAATATTTAATGCACCCCCCCACCTCCCCCATTTATAATAAGGGTTTTGTCTTTTTCTCCACAGGTGCTGCTTGTTCTTTTCTATCCTCTCAACTCTTGCACCAACCCATTTTTTTATGCTATCTTGACAAAGGCATTTCACAGAGATATCCTGATGATGCTGAGTCAGATGGGTCTTTGTCAACGGCAAGCACACCTCTATCGAAGCCAACTAGTCAGTATTACTCCCTACATATAAAGAAAATGTCTACCCCAAAGCCCAGCATCCATATCCCAAAACAAATAAGACTCAAAAACAAAAAATGGCTTTTTAAATTTGATTAATGTCCATTTCTTATAGTAATAGTCATAAATGGTTACATATTCACAGACCTGATCAATCAATGTATCAATCAGTGTACTATGTCACCTAAACGGAGAAGTAACCATGAGGTTGAATTTCAATATTTAATGTATATGTCTTTGATGCGGTTACAAATAAATAAATAATGTCTGAATATTATACTATTCCAGCCATAAGGTGGAATAAGAAAACAGAACAGTTCAAATCACGAGAAAACAAACATTGCATTTTCTATTTGCTTTTAGAACCAGGTAACAAACCTTGGTCCATATGGAACTTAAATTATCAACCAAAGGGGAAAAATATCTAAACAATGGGAAATGTAAATAGCAGGTTTGTCCTAACTTTTTGTGATCTACCACTTATTCTAAACATTCTAAACTGCTAATTTAAACGAACAACAAGTGAGACCCAGGTAGGCTGCAGATTGTTGGTTATTCTGTATAATTAACTGCTCTTTTCTCTGTAAAAAAAAAAAGAGCTACTTATTAGATTGTTTTAATTTTTTTTATGCTTCTTGCCTTGAAAGCAATGTCTTGTTCACTGATAAAGCCACTGACAAGTGATTATGATCCACTGTAGCAGACTAATTCAACCTCTAATAAATCTATTTATAATCAAACTGGATCCTTGCCATTAGTATATGTAAATAAATAAAATGAAATAAAATAGCTCCATTTGGGACCACATCTTATCTGTTCATCTGGACGTAGCACTTACACATCCTGGATAGTGAGACACACTGGTTTGAGTGTGGAGTCAAGGAGGCTATTTATGTGAAAACGTTTTTTTTCTTGGTTTGTGTTCCAACATGCACTATCAACTATGGGACCTTACACAGACAGGTGTGTACCTTTCCAAATCATGTCTAATCAACTGAAATCACCACAGGTGGACCTCAGTCAAGTTGTAGAAACAGCTGACAAATGATCAATGAAAATAGAATGCAGCTAAAATCAATTTTGATTAATACTGCAAAGGCTGTGAATACTTATACACTCCAAGAATTTCAAGGAAACTTTTTTTTTTTTTTTTTTAATAAACTGCCCTTATGGGGTATTATGTATAGAATTTCAAGGTGGAAATTCCATGGTATGCCCTGGTTAATATTATTAAGAACTCCAGCTCTATCATCATTTCTAGACATACAGAAATATTTGCTGAAAGATTGACAGACAGAACAAGTGAAGTGCATTTATTAAAGTACATGAGATAGCCAAACCATAGCTTGGATAGTTCTTGTATATTGATAGTCTCTTCAAATGAGGCATTACTCTACAGCATATCTCTAAACCCAGCACTGTCTCGTACCATGCTGCTGTAGACTGATTTGTAAACCTTCAAAACATCAAAAGCTGAAGGGCGGTCGGTGGGATCCTTCTTCTTGCACTTCTCATGGATCTGAAAAAGATGGAAATGGACTAAATCCCCGCCAGGTACCTTTCCCATAAGGAACCACGTCACATCTGGGATCTTCCAAATATCGGTCTTCTCATCATACTCTGGCATGAGATTGTCTGAAAAAGGCTTTCCATTGTTTCTGAATGGCCATAGCTGCTCTGGGGCAACAAAATCTCCAGTGAGCTCCCGATGGCCACATTTCACTGACAAGTTTCTGGACATATCCACTTCAGGAAGTGCATCAAGGTCATTCACTACTAGATGAAAGTCATTTGTCAGTAGAAATTGGGACAGAGTTTTCTCAAGGCTGTTTGAATCGCACATAACTCGTCGCCCAACTGGGCTGTTATGAAGGTAATGGAGGATGGTGACGTAATCTATAGCTAGCCTCAGCCGCATCTCCCAATTGTTGTGTTGCTGGTGCTGCTCTTTTTCAAGAACATCATCCAGATTAAGCAATGAGCCAAATGGGTGGTGTTCTGTCAAAATGATGTGCTCTTCAAGGCAAAACCCCACCAACTGAACCACCTGGGGGCTCTGCAGGGCCTGTAACATTGACAATCCATGGAGAAAATCCTCCAAGTAATTGAGAGATGATAGCCTTGACAGAGCTACCTTCTGGCCTCTCCACTCTGCCAAATAAACCTGAGGAAAGAAAACCAAATAGATGAGATTCACAAGGTCTACTGACTGTTGCCAATGATAAAAATTAATATTTTTAACAAAATCTGTATTTTTAACTGTACTAACCTGCCATGTATTACTTTATGACATAATCAATTATTTTAGCTTTATTTATGCTTTTTTTCTTCTTCTTTTTGTATGTCCCTTCTGACACTGTAGCAATTAGAATCAGAGTTATTGTCTAAAGGCCAAGAAAAATGCCCAACAGATTTATTTTACCAAGTAGACCATTACGGCTTTTGCTATACTGGTCCACTTGAATGTCATATTTCATTCAATCTTATTGTTATTATCATCAATTATATTTTATTAATTTACAATAAAATCAAATATTAGCTCCCTTGTTGACCCCCATAGTCACCCTCATTCCCCAGAAGCCATCAAAAGCAGGGGGGCCCAGGCGACTCAGACACGGGCCCACAGCAGTAGCACCACCACCACAGAGCATGGGGCGACCCACCCGACTCCATTGCAGAGGTAAATTACACCCACTCTGGCATTTAGTGAATTCAGTAAAAGACTACATGAGACAATAGACATCCGGGTTGAGTTCATCGTCCACCTCTGCACCTCCTCAAGAGGCACTCTCAAGAGAGATTTTTTTTTTCATGGCAACGAATGTGAATGTTACTATTAAGTTACAAGCAATTTGCCCTAAAACTTTCTTTTTTGAACATTAAACAATGTGGGACCTGTATAACATCAGTGTGCTTTGTATTTTGTTGTGACATGTTGTCCAGTGTCACAACTATGATAAGTTGCTAAAGTTACAATGGGAAATTAACATGGAATCTCTTGACATTACATTTATTTGATACACATACAAACTTAGCCAATACACACACACACACACACACACACACACACACACATATATATATAAAATCTGTCTACCTTCTTCACTGCTCCCTGGCCAATCAGCTTCAGCTCGTGTACTTCAGTGTTTATTTGTAAACACTGGAGCCAGGCGGTGCAGTCTTTCATGGTTGGCATTTTAAAGTGTTGAGGCACACAGCCCACCAGAGGTGAAACTTGCTGCAAACCAGGCTGATACACAGAGTCCAGATAGAGGTAAATGAAGATATTGGTAAGAAGGAAAGCAGCAGCACATATTCCAACTATTGGAACAATGTAGGCCACAGTAGTCCTGCTGCGCTGACCCACTGTGCTCTGCATCTAAAATAAAAAGAGGAATGACAAAAGGGATATTGTAAGTGTACTAATTACAGGTACAGATATTAAAGAGTAGCACAACACGAGGCTGAAAAGCAGTATTTTCCTGCCTTATTCTCACACCCTTTGGCCATTGTGGTCAGAGGTATATTGTGTGGTCAGCTGTACCTGCTGTGTAGCCTTAACACTGGTGTGTGGTGGTCCTGTGGTACCATCCTGGTTAAAGTAGTAAATGTTGGAATATAGTTTTTCTTTAAAGATTTTCAGGAAAAATATCCACTAGCCTATCTATTTTCTTATTCTCCCAGTATTAACAAATGTAACGAAGTAACAAATTACTTACTTTAAAATGGTGAACACACCTTCATTCATTTTGGTGTGCTCAACTTTATTACTGGGAATAAATCCAAAACAAATCTATACCAGGGATAAAGGTAATGTTTTTGATAACTGTACATCTACTTTTGTGCCAGCCACTCACAGTCACTATTTTTCAAATCTCAGCTGTGTTTCATCATGAGTGACTGGCTGTCCCTGTCAATTCCTGTCATGTCTTAAAACCAGTGATGGGAATAACGGCGTAACAAGTAATGGCGTTACTAACGACGACTACGTAAGTAATCTGGACGCTACAGCTTTAAGCAGCTGTGTGCGCTCCCGATCACTGTCTAGCACAACAGCTGGAGCTCAGGGGGCAAAACAATCGCATGAGTGCTGCTGTGGTCATGTGATTGGTAAGCCAATCACATGACCACTTAAAGACAAAGCAACAAGGTGATATATACCATTTTTTAAATTGTGTTAGTAGGCCACGAGTCATGATAAACAATATATGCTGCGTTTTTTTCCTGAATAGTTTCGTGACGTTTACCGTCTAACGACTGCACTAGCAAGCACTCTCTGCTTATGAGCAAAAAAACAGGGGACGTTTTAGGAGTGACGGAGGGAGAGAATGAGAGAGAGAGAAAGAGAGAGAGAGTGAGTGAGAAAGACAGCAGAAAAAGAGAGTCAGTGTTGGGAAGGTTACTT